TGGAAGGAAGGGGTTAGAAAAGGTCGACCTTAAAAATGTCACATCTCATCCTACGCTATGGATTTCCGTTTACGGCAGTAAGGCCATTTGAACAGTGGAGCTAACATTTCCAAAACATCCCATAAAAAGGTCGTGTGTGACCGGCCTCAAACAATTGTCCTTTGGGCTCTGCGGTCACGCTCCCAGGTCGCTAAGACCAAAGTTAATTTACCTTCCTTTTTTGGCTCCTCAAGAAACACGCTTCCATAGTGTGGGGAGCCGAAAAGCGACAACCATCCACATACTCATAACAGATGTGCATTATTGATAAGTCCTATATCAGTGCTTCTAGGTTTCGAATATTTCAGCCCATCGTTTCAATGAAACTCAAAAAATTTCCACAACCCTACACTGAAAATCTGATAGGTTTTCTAAATTAGTAAAGGGAACTATGAAGACAAAGTAGAATGTACCAATCCGACAATAGTGGCATTGTTATCATTCAAAAAACCACAGAGACCATAATCGATAGTTGAAGAACAAAACCAAAATTTAATAGGAATTAGCATACTGGAAAGTATGGATGATGGCTGTAATGTTACATTTTGTAATGATTGAAGTTAAACAATCACTGGTTCCTAGCTTAGTCATTTAAATACTAAACTCTTATCAGTCAGTCACTCAACAACAACGTAAAACTTCGTAGGTAAGTAGAGACGCCACTGCCGATTCAAATCCCATAGTGCTAAAGATAGTAGGAAGTATTAGCAGTAATCGGAGAGATAAGGGTTCCAAGATATTAACTAAGTATAATGATGATGAAGAATTCAGAAGGTTAGCATTTGACTGAATACAATGAATGAATGCATGTGCGCCATCACAAATGATTTTGAGCCATTTCATTCAAGGTCTCTAACCATTGATGACTTTCATCTCGCGGATCCCAACCAGGTAGCCTACATCTACCAACATGGCTCAGTCCACTAGTCAGTGACTTCATGGATTTCTGCCATGTTTCGGTTTGGCCGCCCCTAGCTTTCTTCCAACCTACTCCTACACTGCAAAACATTTCTCGTCGAAGTAGTCGGTGGTTAGGCATACACAACATATGTCCTAACAACCTGAACTGCCCAAGTTTCATCAACACTTCGTCTGTAGATCTGCAACCCTTACTTAGGACCCGTTTCCTAACGACAGCATTGCTTACTCGAAAAAACTGTACGGGGCTACTGTCGGTCTCAAGCCCGGATAATGGTAGAAGGTTGGGATTGGGTCTGGCGACCCCATCTCGCAAAAAACTAACTGGCTGAAAAATCGCTAACAACAAAATAAGACTACAATGAAAGTCTTTGGGAAAATAGTCAATGCGAACTAGATCGAACTGGAGTTAGGATTCTGATTAGTGGACTTGGCACGTGATATACTGGGTCAGCAATCTTTGAGACAATAAAACCCAATCGTTCCTGCATCAAAAATGGAATGACTGATTGACTCAATGAAAAAAGATTGTCACGAATGAGATGGTCAAGTGTCCTGCCTATAGATTTAAGGATAGTTGTCACTTCACGAATGGTTCACACCGTATGAGAACGAAAATTCATCACAATAGCATAATGAAATCCGATCCTTCATGAATTTTTTTGAAAAATGCTTATTCAAATATTTACCAATAAATTGGTGAAGAAAAATTTCCAATTGAATTAAATTAGCTAGTTTGTAACGATAAGTATAGATGGTGGCTAGAGATGGAATCCAAGACATGCGTTCCGTTCTATCCGGGACTTATCGGCAGTGCGCTCCGTCCTACTTTATGGCTGTGAAACGTGGTCAGTAAGAGTTGAGGATATCCATAGGTTATTAGTATTCGATTATAGATGTCCTCGAAGCATTGCCCGTGTATCCTAGAACCAATGAAGCCGTTAGGTAACGAGTACTAGGTAAGGATGAAAGATCAAGAGATGAAGTAGTGAAACTTCATCCGTTGAGATGGTTGGGACATGTGTGATGAATGACCAACCACCAACTGCCTCAACGAGCTGTGTTTTGTGGTGTAGGAGTAGGTTGGAAGAAAGCTAAGGGTGACAAAATCAAAACATGGCACAAATCCATGAAGTCACTGACAAGTGGATGATGAGCCATGTTGGTAGATGTGACCGCGAGATGATAGTAATATAGATGGTTAGAGACCTTAGATGACATGGATCGAAATCTTTTACAATGGCGCCAGTGCAACCATTCTTTGTGTTTGCTAAAATCCTAGTTTTCTGAATTCCTGATGACCGTTTTTTTTCACTTTTTTTATGAATCGATTCGTCTGGGGTATACATCTCGAATAGGTGTATATTCGTTCATTAATCTTTTTGATGATTGTTAATACCTCTACTATTGCTACCATTATTGGATTTGAACTGACAGTTGTGACTGTGTGCTAATGTGGTATGGCAACTCGAACCGATGTACGTACGAAGTTCTACGTTGTAATTGACTATCCATCACTCACTATCTATCTCTCTATTCAAAATGCTTGTGACGTAATAGCCAGTTTTACACATCAATGGGAGAATTTTAAAATAATCAATCTACATAAATAAAATTAATTTGTAACTAGTAGTCGTTCTATTTAATAAATAAATAAATAATGATACTAGTTTCATACACATACATACAAACACACACACAAATACATACAGTTTATGGTATTGTGTGTGTGTGTTGTGTGTGTGGTCAATGCACAACACACATCAACAAACTTTCTTATCAGAATAAATGAAAACTAAACTTGACTATGATAATTCTTCGTTGGCAAAATGTGTACAACTATATTATAATTATTGTGTGTAACACGTTTGAAAAGTAACATTGCGTATGTGTGTGTATGTATGTATGAGAGAGAAAAAGAGAGAGTAGAAGATTACAACACAGGGCATACATATACAACAAATGTACGTTAGTACATAAGAAGATATGATTTAAAAAAAACAGTATCAAAACTCGAATGGAACAACAATACAACAACAAAAAACATACATAAACACAAATAGGAAGAAACTTAATAATTAAAAGACAAAAATATGAAATAAAATAAAATAAACCAATCTCTCTTTTCTTCTAATTCCCTCAACCAAAAAGACACGATGACAAACATACAGCGAGCAAACGAACGAGTGAGCGAGAGATAGAGAGAGACACTAAGAAGCGTAAATGAAGTCACAAGTGAATCTTGGTTGATAAAAATAATGATAATAATAATAATAATAATGATATACACATCATCTTTCTTCTCTGCTTACGAAACCAACTATCTATCTATTTATCTATCTATCTATCACACATGAAGACAATATTCTGTATTTTAGTTAATCGTATATGATCTCTTTCTCTCTCTCTCTCCACATATATTTATATATAATTAAGAATAAAATATTGGCTTTTCAATAATAACAAAACACGAAAAAAACAAACAAACAGAAATGGACTATTTTATTGATCGGCGGTGGTAGGAGTAGAAGTAACAGTAGTTGTTTTTAATCATTGGAATTAAAGAAAAAATATACCTAACACCATTGGAGTTTTGTGTATTGTTGACAAAGAGAAAAAAAAGATAGTTGACATTGACGAAAAAATTACTAACCCCATCATCTAATAGAATATGCTAAGTATATATTTACACATTTGAAATCATCAGTCAATCATTGTTAGACCACCATTAGAAACCTGGAAGTACTGGACGGCCGTTTCGTCCTAGTATGGGACTCATCAGCAGTGCGCATCCACAACTCCTGCTCCTCGCAGGATGAGGTCGCGCAAAATCCCTAGATCAATCAGAGTTAGACATTAACACCGTTGGATGCCGGCCCAGTGGTCCGATGGTAAGGCGTTCGCCTACAATGCCGAAGGTTCCGGGTTCGAATCCTGCAAGTAATAGGAGTCGTGGATGCGCACTGCTGATGAGTCCCATACCAGGAAGAAACGGCCGTCCAGTACTTCCAGGTTTCTAATGGTGGTCTAACAATGATTGATTGATTATTTCAAATGTTTAAAAACGCAAACCTCCAAAACTGTGCCCCAAAATAAGTAGATATTAACAACTTGGAGTCGCGTTTTTTTAAAGGATATGTCGAACGGGATGAAAGTTCGGAGGGAGGCTCGAATTGATAAACTGTGTGTGGTAAGAGTTCAAATTGCGCTCCTCAAAAATAATTATGCCTCTAGTCCATATGCTCGTTTTTTTTAAAAAAAGATCTAAACATTTGTTATTGAAAACTAAGCCAGAAGCGCTTTCAGGGTTACTGGAACGTTCCAAGACGGGGTAAAGGAGGAGGGTTGGGCATTAGGTTAGAGACTCAATTCCGTAGAAAACCGACTCGCTGAAAAAAGTAACCAATCAAGATCGAGGTTAGCAGAACAAGCTACAGGTCGAACATGGAGAAATTCGAATACTTCACTTCCATCCGAAATTTGTGCT